TCGGGCTCCCTGCTCAGCGGGGAGTCTGCTTCTCCCTCTCCCTCTGCCCCTCCCCCTGCTCATGTTCTCTCTCTCAAATAAAATCTTAAAACAAACAAACAACTGCAGACGACATTGGTGTGGCCACAACCAGAGCTGGCTAAATCCTTCCCAGCTGTTTTTTTTAAATGCCTCGTTTTGCATCTTGGCCACTATAGGACTACAGTGCTGTTCATTCATCTAAAAGGCAGTTTTTATTGGAAGAGTGCTTGAATCCTGTGGAGCAGGCGCTGGGGGCATGGAGAGGTGGGACGCTGTGTCTCCACGCCCGTGGAGAAGTGAAGCTCAGCACGCCCCAGCCACCCTCTGCATGATCACAGCGATCCTCCTCCTAACTAGTAAGTACTCTGAAGACGGAAGGGGGCTGGAGGGGTGCTGCTGGGCACGTGGGGCTCCCTCGCAGCCAGCCTTGGGTGTGGATCTCCCGTTGCTGCAGCTGAATCCTGGGGGTCGGGGCACGACAGGGGGACTGACACCTTCTCTTTGGCAGCCCTGGGGAGGGAGGGAGAGCACCTGAGCGGTGGCAGCGGTAATCTGATGATGTGGAAGAACTCACTATTCCAATTTTGGGTTAGATGATAACCACTAGGATCTCTGGTGTTTGTCTCAAGGAAGACTTGATGCTGACGGCAGCAGACGAGGGGTCAATCCAAGAAAAACAGCCTAGATCTCATGCACTATGGGAACGGTTCTAGAATATGCCATTGGGCTTAATGACGTTAACCTTCAAAAGTAACACACCAGGTGCATTACTGCAGAATTGTAAGAGACACACCCGCTCAGGACCCAGGGAGGCTGCGTTAGGACTAATGGCCCCCATCGCAACAGCACTGAGAACCTGCGGGCTTTGCCTTGTCGCACTTGTAGACAGACGTGGTGCTCACGCTGGGTCGGGAGGCTGGGACCGCGACACTGAGCTAGCGCCAGGCTCGTCTGAACGGCCGGGTGAAGTGGACACGCCTGGGTCCAGCGGCTGGCTGCCCAACTGTGGCGTCTGGATGTTCGCAATTTGCTACAGATGGAGAAAGCCATGGGGATGTGAGGCCAAACTGGGCGGACAGTTAGGAGTGGGTGGGCTGAAGGAGAAAGGGCCGAGCAGGCCCACTGTGTGGCCCGGTCCCTGCGTGAGCAGGGCTGCTGTGTCTGGGGGTACCCAGCGGGCCAGCAACCAGGACAGGCACCCCTGCAGGCCAGGGAGTCGGGCTGGGGAGCAAAACTGAGCCAAAAATGAGGGCTGTTTCAGACACACTTCCGCTCTGCCGGCTGTCCACGCACAGTGACCGCTATTTTAGGGTGTTAGAAAGCCCTGCCGGGCATCAAGCAGCTCTGACCACTGCATTAGGACTGTGAGGGTGTCAGAAAGGGCCTCCCGGTGTCAAGGGTGGAACCAGAAAACAAGGGGCAACGTCCCTGGACGCTGGCGTCTGGTGCCCAGGACCTGCTCTCCCTCCCTGCAGGCTTCTCCCCAGGCCCATGCCTGGCCCACCTGAGGGGAGGGCACAAAGGCACGGCTCTCCCTCAGCGAGCGGGGTCCTGGCCGGTGCCTGCCTCCCCGAACAGATGACTCCTCTGGCCTCTTCCTGCTCGAAGAGATCACTTGTGATTACTTGTGCCCTGTCCTTCCCTGTCCGACCCTCAGAGAAAGGAGGGATCTCATCTCACATGAGGAAGAAAGGAGGCTCTACCGTGAGGTAGGTCTTCTGTGTCAGTGTGGAAACAGTGTACTGGTCTCCACAGGGAGCAGCAACAGGGTGCTGGCACCGCTCACGGTGGGTCCCACATGAAAAGGCTACAAATGCCACAGAAGACTGCCCTTCATCCACATGAGAAGAAAAATACCCCGAGAGTGAAATGAAAAAGAACCAAACCAAACCAAACCCTGCTTAAACAAGAAGGCAAAGCTGGCCAGCGTGGGGTCCGAGGGCATCCAGTGGGCACCTGCCCTGCGGCCCGTGGCCGTGTGCTGCCATGGGCACTGCTCTCTCCCTATGGTTTGCAAGGTTGCGGCCACACGACAGCACACGGGAGGGGTTGCAGGGACCGGCTCTCCGCCAGCAAGCGGGCCTGGCTCTGTCCCACAGGGATGCGGAGGGGAGAACACAATCCTGTCTTCCGAGAGAGGACAGACAGCCTACAGCAGAGACCCTCTCAGGAGGACTCAGACGGACGCGGCAGAATCCATCCGACATGATGCAGGAGCCGATGAAACCCGCCAACCCTGGGCCAGAGACGTTCCGCCACTGCTCTGGCTGCTCTCCTGTCCATTCCTGCAGATGGAGCCGGCTCCCCGGGTCCTGAGTAAAACCCTCTCCCCAGCCGACGCGGGGGCTCACCAGCGCACGAGCGTGCTTGGGGCGCTGGCTCTCCCGTCCCCCTCTAACCTGGCCATGCTCCTGTGGGGAAGAGCCCTGCCTCATCTCGGACATTCCTAAATTCAAGTGCAAACCCTGGGCTTCTGAAAACATGTTTTTCCACCTAGGCTGTCTTAATGACTTGAAGTTTAGGCTTTTGCTAGAAAAGAGACAGCAAGGAACACAGGTAATGTGGGGGAGATTTATGATTCCTGATAAAATCCCTACCTCGTGCTCTGTCCTCGAGCTGTTCTTACCCCAACCCGAGCTTCACCCGGAAAGGCAACAGACCCTCGGGCTGATGCCAAGGGGCTGCCGACGCAGGGTTGTTGCAGCGAGAGGTCTGTTTGCAAAGGGTTCCTTCCTCGTCAGGACTTCCTCCTGCCGTGCAGGACGGGGTGGGAGCACCACCACAGGCTCACGAGCTCTCCAACATGCTCGCCCCCTTCCTCCACCTGACACGGGGCTCTGGACCATGAGTCTCGCCCCGCGGACAGGAGCACCTTGCCCTCCTGGGGCCAGGCCCGCTGATGCTGCCCTACACCCACTGTCACCCACTGGCTCAGGAGACACGAAACAACCCAGACATCACACCATCTGCCCCAGTACGAGTGAGGGCGTGCATCACGGCCGCTGTCAGGAGCATTCTGATGGGGGACCTGTCCCTGCTGGTCACGCTGCTGCCCAGCCCTGGCCTTCTGGCAGTCGCTCGTGACCTGGGGGCGAGCACCACCTACACCTTCAATCGCCACAGCCCGCTCTGCTACACCAGACGCAGAGGAAGAGACAGGACCCAGAGTCGTCCGCCCGTGTGAAAAAGAGCTTCTGTGCAGCCCCCCTCCCGGCCCATGCCCTGGACGCGCTGCTAGAAACCAGCCTGGGCTTTCACTTAAATGTTCTTCCAAAAAGTCTGAAGCATCTAACATGCTGAATGTAACACAATAAAGCCATTGGCATGAGAAGTTGTTTGAAGTCCCAGAAGACGGAGGGGAAACCCCCAACGACGGGGAGTGTGTGACGGCTCCACAGACGTGGGTCTCCACTGTAGGTGCTGTGGCTGAATCTCGCCCTCAGCCTGCCGGCGGCTGAGGCACAGGGAGGAAAATGAGACAAGGTTTACGGTCCTAGTTTGGCACTTAATGGCGTGCTGTTCCCTGTGCTGCTGGGGAAGCGTATCCGAGGACGTACGAGGGACATCACGGTCACAGCCCCGAAGTAGGTGCAGAACAGCAGAACGCACCAAAAGCAGTATGGTCTCTAAGGGAAGCTCGTCCCTGGAGTCAGCCCTTGATAACGGCGATGGGTTACAAGCGGGCCAGCAGCCCGCGGTGTCGCGGGGGCCCCAAACCGGGGGAAATCACCCCAAGACCAGTGATGACAGGCAGAACAGGAGAGCATGCTTACCTAACATACCACTGTGCAAAGAGAATGCCTACGTGCATCTCTTGCCTTTTCTCTTATAAAATTAGAAACCTAACACGCTCTGCCCCCAACACCCCTCCTTCCAAACCCTGACTTGTGTGTTTCTCCTCGTCTTTCCCTCAGGTTGAATGGAGCCCTGCACCCTTTTCCTCCTGTTGGTGTCTGTTTGTGGACACCCGACTGAGGGTGTGGGCCAAGCCCTGTGTCCATTCATAAGATTCTGATGCAAATTCATTCAAATTAAATTTAGGAAAAACATGTTTTTCAGACATCCGGGCTTTTCCTTTTAACTTGTAGCATTTATTTTTAGGACAGTTTTATTTTTTATTTTTTTTTAAGATTTTATTTGAGAGAGTGAACTAGAGAGGGGGAGGGAGAGAGTGCGCAAGTGTGCATGAGCAGGGAGCCTGATGCAGGACTCGATCCCAGGACCCTGAGACCATGATCTGAGCCGAAGGCAGATGCTTCACCGACAACCCCCCAGGAGCCCCAGGACAGCTTAAGATTCACAGAAAACCTGAACGCAGAGTGCAGACCCACCAGGCTCCTGGCAATAACCACAGTCCTGGACACACAAGCACGAGTGTTGGAATGGGAGGGATGTCCACGGCAGCTAAGGGGCCGCATCAATACATTTCTGTCAACTTGAGTCCAAACTTGATATTTGGCGAATGACCTTCCTCTGCATCCCACAGAGTATTCGGCTCTCACGTCTCCGTAGGCACTCTAGGCTGCTGCAGTTGTTCACACCTTCTGTTTTAATGACCGTGCTAGCTGTGAGGGGACGGGCGAGCTGGTCTGGGGGACCATCTGGTACTCCTCCCAGGGTGGGACAGCGGTTGTGAGTTTGGGGAGGAAGACCACAGAGGTGAAGCCCTTCTCAGCATGTCCAGCCAAGGGCACGTACTCAAATGAGGCATCCCTCTGTGCTGACCCTGACCTCCATCCCAAGAGGCTGTTTGTCTGGTCTCTCCATTAGCATGACCCCACCCCTTTCCACACCTCAAGGCTGGGACTGGCAGTGTCCTCCCAGGATGATAAACAGCCAATCCATCTACGGAGACGTCCGGCAGAGCTCCGAGCCGAGAGCACAGGGCAACATGGAGCACCCCTCAGGGTGTTCTGGAGTTTGCTTCTACCCTGGGTTCCACTGGACACCCTGTTCCCTTCTACATGGATCCGTGTCTGCCAAAAATAGTTGGAGTTGTGTCTGCTACCTCCCACCAGAAGGCCTTCATGAATGCACACCTCCTTTCCCTTCTTGAGAACAGAAAGACCTGAAAAATAATTTCCGGACTTGATATGTTACGAGTATCGTTTCTCTGAAAGTAATTTCAAAATTGTAGAAAACTTAAAAAATGAAAAGAGTACAAAGAACACTTCCAATATCCCTTAGTCAGGTTCACCTATTGTTAACATTTTATTCCACTTGCTTAATCACGTGTGCACTCTCTGTCCTGCTCTCTCTCTCTCACACACACACACGTCCTTCTGAAGATGGGCGGGACGCTGCATCCATCACGACCCTTTACTGCTCAGTATTTCATCAAGCATTTCCTACGAGGAGGGATAGTCTCATGCATAATCAAAGCACGGCAATCAGCGTCAGTGATGTAACGCCGATCTGAGCCGCGACTGCAGTTCTGTCCATCAGCCCAACGATGGCTGCAAGAGCATTGCCCCCTCATGTCGAGGACCCGCTGAGCACCAGCTTTTGCATTTGGTTGTCACATCTCTTTAGCTTCTATTACTGAAGACCATTTCCAAAGCTTTTCTGTCTTTACGAAATTGACATTTAAAAAGAATACAGCCCTGCCTTTTAAAAATATCACTTAGGGGCACCTGGGTGGCTCAGTCAGCTAAGCATCCGACTCTCTTGACCTCAGCCCAGGTCTTGATCTCAGGGCCGTGAGTTCAAGCGCCACACTGGGCTCCATGCCCAGCATGGTGCCTACTTAAAAAGTAAAAAATAAAAGCATCATTTGAAACCATTTTACTCAAAATGAATCAAAGACCCTAAATGCAAAAGTTAAAAGTATAAAAATGTTATGAGAAAACAGGGCAAAAACTTCACAATATCGGATTGTTAAAAAACCAACCAACCCAAAAAACCTCAGCTAGGACACCAGAGCACAGGCAGCAAAAGATGGATAAATTGGATCACATCCAAATGAGAAACTGTGCCATGGATGGTGTCAAAAGAACAAAAGGCATTCATGGGACAGGAGAAAATATTTGCAAGTCATATATCGAAGAAAGGACTTGTATCCAGAACTTAAAAAGAATTCTTAACACTCAAAAATAAAACAATTTGATTAAAAATGGGCAAAGGACTTGAACAGACATTTATTCAAAAGAGATATATGAATGGCCAATAAGCACATAAGATGCTCAATATCACTTGTCATTAGAGAAATGCAAATCAGAACCACAATGAGATACCACCTCACCCCCGTTAGGATGGCTACTATCAAAAAACCCAAAACAACAGATGTTGGCGAGGATGCCAAGAAAGGGGAACCTCGTGCACTGTTGGTGGGAATGCAAACTGGTGCAGCCACTGTGGAAACCAGTATGGAGGTTCCTCAAGAAGTTAAAAATACCCTGTGATCCAGCAACTGCACTTCTGGGTATATACCCGAAAAATGTGAAAGCAGAGGCTAGAAGAGAGAGTTCTATGCCCATGTTCACAGCAGCAGGAAGGCTGAAGCAATCCAGGTGTCCATCAATGGATGAATGGGTAAGCAGAATGTGGTCCATCCGTACAATGGAATATTACTCAGCCCTAAAAAGAAGGAATTCTCACACATGCTCCAACATGGATGGGCCCTGAGGACATGTGGGGGAATGTGATCAAAAAGATGGGACCACTGGTTGACCCGTGAGCTGGACCTGGGCATTCGGAAGCTTCTCACCCCTCCCCTGTCCTTGGAACATGGGCTCCAAGTGCCTTTCTGCTCCCAGAGGCTACTCCAGGGACACAGCCCTGACCTGGTGACATGGTGTCGAGAACACACCTGCACAGTCCATGTGACAGAGCCCAGTTAGGGCCCCTTGTAACTTGTAAGATCTGGTGGGCAGGTGCGGGGGGATCCACCTGTCTTGCTGCCGCCCAAGACAAGCAGCGTGTGTAAGTTCCCTTTGCTTATTAAAGCTGCCACCCGCCCCCATGGAGGGGCAGCCCCTTTCTTCAGGCCACTTCTGGGCTGCACACCTGCAGAACAGCATATGCTCAGGAGAATAAGCCGGTTGCAGAAGGACAAACCCTGTAAGATTCCACTTATGAGGTCCGTGGAATCGTCAAGTTCACGAAGACAGAAGGTAGAATGGGGGGTGCCAGGGGCTGGGGAGGGGGAGTTAGTGTTTGATGGGGACAGCGTTTCGGTTTGGGAAGATGTGGAAGTTCTGTGGACGGTGGCAGGGACGGCCGCCCACCAATGAATGTGCTGAACGCCACGGAACTGTGCATCTAGTGATGGCAAGATGGTAAACTCTGTGTTGTGTGTGTTTACTCAGCTAAAATTTAATCGTTTAGACATTATTACTTTGGGGTTCTCTAACATTTCCTCATGACTGACCCGAAGGGCTGAGGGAATGTCATGTCCTTCTCGTGGGATCCCCTCTGGAGGCCCATCAGTCCATCTGTTCCCTTCGGGTTTGTTTCTGAGCTTGTCGATTCTTTGTCCGTTCTGCAGAACATTCCAGCACACGATACCGGCATGCCCGTTTGCAGCATCCTGTTACATGGCAGGGGACACGCGGTGCAGGAGGAGGTCACACGTTGCTTCAATACACAGACCATGACTAAATCCCATAAGGCAGAAGCCACGCCGTCCTTTTGTGGTGCCCGTCACACATGTAGCCCTGAGCCCCGCCCCTGTGGGCCCCTGTGGTCCCCTGTGCCAGCCCCGGGCCACAGTTGGGCCCATGCCCGAGCAGGCGGCCAGCACTTCTCCACAAAAGGACTCTCCAAGAGTAAGTTTACTTAAGCAGAGATGCTTCCCTTTGAGGGAAAAGTATCTAGGATTCATTTCTTTTAAAATGACGTTCACTTTCTAATGATGGCTGGGTATGACAGCCACATGGGCAAGAATTAGCTGGCTGCCCTTGGCTTTGCTAAGACCCTATAATCAAATGGCATTCGTAGGGTTTTGTGGTGGTGATTCTGTTAACGGCGGGAACAGAATAAGTCACCAGGATACAGAAAGAGAAGCTGAAATGTGCTGACCAGTTGGAAGAGGGTTTTCACAGACTTGTAGTTCCCGTCATCTTCTCTCTGTACCCACCCAATCACACTCTGGGCCATTTCATTCAAAACCGCGATGTGTGTGTGCACAACACCAGAATGAGGAGGGAAGAGAGAACAAGGAGATGATGGGACAGCCTTTCTAACCGCGCGGCTGGTCGGAGGGAGCAGGTGCGCAGGCAGAACAGGCACTCTGGCTGGCTGATGCCACCAGCCCACGGTGGGGGAGAAGGAGAGCCCCTTCTCCTTCTCGGGGCCTGAGTCCTGACCCCACACGAGACACTGCAGAACCCCCCAAAGCCAGCAGGATTGGATTTCCTGCACAGCATGCCGGGAAGGGCTCATGTCGCTCTGGCCATGTGCGCACATGTCAGGACAAGAAATCAGGGACCGTGTCCACCTTCCTCTGGAAAGATCAATGTATAATCAATGTATGAGGCGGCAATCTGCAGAGGGAGACTTCCCCCAGGGAACACGTGGGCGTGAACCAAATCGCTCTACTGTCAGAGAACACGCCTCACTCATAACGTGGTGGCCGTGAGAACACAGCGAGCGTCTGATTTTAGGGAAGGGGGCCCAGATGTCGCAAATGAAGATACAGGATGCTTGGTTAAATGTGAATTTCAGATCAACAATAGTACTTTTTAAAGTGCACATTTACCCACGCATATTTCGGACATACTTGCACTAGGAAAATGATGCCTCTTGTATCTGAAACTCAAATTCAACCGGCTGTCCTGTAGTTTATCTGCAGCTCCAATTTAGAGGATTTGGTAGAGGTCTTTGGGATAAGATTTAATGAATAAACCAGTGGGGCAAAAACTATCCAGTCAATACGTTTTTATTCTTATTTATTTAAATTTGATCTCTACTGAGAAAAGACCACAGAACAATTTCTCAGTAGAGCCTCAAATGTTCTAGAAAAGGAAGAAACACTTAGTCAAAACTCCACAAGTGTTTGAATTGGGAAGGGGACTCAGATACATGCCCCAAGCATTCAGAACCAGGTGGGGGGGGGGCGCTGAAACGAGCGAGGGCCGGGCTGAGAGGCTCAATGACGTGGTCTGAGGTCACACAGCCAGCTGGTGGCAGAGCTGTGACCGGGGCCCGGATCAGCGCCTCTGCGGCTCTTACTTCTCTAGGGGTCTCTTGACAGGTGTGAGAATGAGGTGCAAAGATCAGAAATGGGTGATGGGTTTGAAAGGTGTATGGTCTCTAAGGGATGTCGATGCTGGATGGGGGAAAGCACAGAAGAAATCCAGGGAAGAGCTTGCTTCTCCCAGCTCCCGAAACGTCCTTGGAATGGGGCTGGGAGCCTGGGCCTGCCTCCCGCACCCGACCAGGGCCTCTCAGACGTGGCTTCGGGGCTCCCCACCCACACAGCCAGCTCAGCAGACTTTGACAGGCTGATATGCTGGGCTGCAGTCTAAAGGTGAGAGAACAGAGTAAAAGGAATCATGTGTTTTTATGGAAGCTACCAATTCCAGGGAAGATTTTGGCCTTGCAGGGAAGATGGAGGCTGGAAACTCACCCCAAAATAACCACGTTGCAAAATATGAACTCTTTCTTTTTACTCAGTTTTCTCCATCGATAAACTCATCTGATTTTCAAGTACGCTCCTTAAGCACCATGTAAGGAATGCACAAAACCCACACTACAACCCTGATCTCTTCAACTTCGATTACGTAGCCACAATTAAGGTGGCCAAACAATGAACTAGAAGCATGTGTGCACATCTGTGGACAGCCAGACACAGACACAAGGGAGGAGAGCAAATAGATGGAAAAGCAAATCTATAACTATATATATAATGTATGTATCTATAGAAGCAATACATTGTTTAGATGTATTACGTTAGTGAATCATCACGATGCTTCCACAAGGTATGTACTCCTATCCCCATCGGACAGGCAGGGTGTGCTCGGGCTCAGCTGAACGGAACCCAGAAACAGTGGGTACTGTGCCTCATGGAACGTCAGGGAAACTATGATGCTCACGGCATCCAGAACTCCTGGGGTCAGCTCGGTCCACAAAGGGCCTGCGCAACTTAGGTGCCCCACACACCTCCCGGGTGGCTGTGGAGGACCATGTGACCGGAAATCAGAGATTCAGTAATAAGTGCGAGCTCCACGTCAGGTTCTGCTAAGACCCTCATGCCAATCACGTGCACACCGGGAGCCAACCAAGAGCAGGGTCCCTTTTCAGCTGTTCTGTGTTCATCTGGCCCCCCTCCTGCCGTGGACTAAATCACAAGTCTACCGACGCACGTCTACTCTGTGCTCACTTCTCTCTGGGTCTCGATACTCGGTTAACCACTGACCAGGACTTAATGGACTATCCCTGCTTTCTGGAGACTTAGCACCTCAAGTTAGGAGGAGTAAGGAAGCTAGGGAAAGCTTTATGCTAACATTGTGTCCATAAGACTTAACTCCTAAAACTATTTCTTTAAATGCTGAAAAATTTTTTTCTTTTCTATCTCAAGTCTGCAAAATCCAAGTGCTTAAGGAAAGATGCAATTGGAAGAGATGGAGAGACCATGAATTCATCCTATACGAACGTATTAGAAAGAGTATTTTAAAAAGTAACACTTTCAAGTAGTCCCCAAACCATTTCATCATTTCCCCCTTGTGCACAGTGAGACTAAGTCTACTCCAGCATCAGGAGTCAGTCCCTTGCGATGTGAGGCAGAAATGTTCTCCACAGTGACCTGCTATAAACGCAGAGGACCAAATCCCAAACACTGTGGGTCACAGAAGACAAGGGGGTGTTAGAAAAAGAGAAAGAAAGTCAAGTAGAAATCAAATCAATTTGGGTAACTATTTGATCACAGGCTTCCACAATGTGGCTCTCCTCCGTCACCTGTTCCACGTGTGCACGTGAGCACGCACAATCGCTCTCTAGGGAAACTGCACGTACACACGGACAAGTTAACTCTCTTCAAGTTAATTAGATCATGATTAAGCAGGTGCTCTGGGGCTCCTAGTGAATGTACCAAAGCAACAAGTGATTAATCATCACTGACTCTCCATACGTCTGAGATTAGCACAACGGCCCCATTTTTTTTCCCCCACAAATACTGACAAGAGAGAGGGTCAGTATTTACAAAGGCTCTCCTGTTTCACCTGCACCCCTGCTGGGACCTGGAGCCAGGTGAGCTACCTCTTGCCCCCGGGTCACCCTGGTGCCGTGAGAGGGACAGCTTCAACCCCGAGGCCCCCACAGCACCTCCAGGGCCCTCGGAGGGTGGCTGTACCACACCCGTCCTGAGCACAGGGAGGCTGAGGTCACAGAGCCGGCCCAGATTTGAACTCTGATCGGCTGGACCCCACAGCCTCTCCGTCACATCAGCTAAGACACTTCTGGTTACGTGTTGATAAAGGTCAGAAGTGAGGCTGGAGATTTCAAGCTGGGTGATATTTTCTCTAGGGAATGTGCAGGGTGGATGGTATTGAACGGAATGGGCTTGAAAGCAGGGGATTTTGCAGACTAGGGGTGCTGTGGACAGTGGCGAGGCCCCAGGGGCACGACTCCCAGCTCGAGGAGGGGGTGGGAGCTCCAGCTTCCAGAGGCAGGGGCCTCCCAGGCGAGGGGGAGGCACCAGGGAGGTTTTCTGCTGCAGAAAAGCAGGCGTGAGCAGCATGTCCGCCAGCTACCCAGCCCGACCTGGCCGGGAAGGTCTATTACAGGTGGTGAAGGCAGTGGAGGACACGGAGAACACGGGAGCTCGGGCTCCCGGCTGCTGAAGCTCTGGGGACAGACCACACTGAAGGAGCAGTTACGCCATGTCCAGGTTTGCTTCGGTTTCGGCAAACACTGACGGAGGCGGCACTCCCCTCAGCTCCCGGCCTCCCCCGCGCTCCGCCCGCGGCAGGTGAGAATGCCTCAGCGTGACTGGCCTGCAGGTGGGTGGCCAGACAAGAGCAGGAGCGCGCAGGCACCCCGCGGAAGGCTTTCTTCGGAGAGGCCCGGCCAGGGCGGACGCGGGGTTCTGCGTGTCCTGCGTGGGGGCAGCTCGCTGGGTCCCTCTGACACTCGCCGACGTGGCCGGTATTGTGGCCACCAGCGTCGGTCATGACACAGCTGAAACTGTGAAGATGTGTGACTGACAGCAGCTTCCGGCTCCCCAGGTACTTCTACTTCCACCCCGAATGGCCTTGTCAGAGAGCACAAAGCAGGGACAAAAGCGTCACTTAAAGGGTTTTAAGGACTTTGGAGATGGGAGAACGAGCAAATCACCAGGAGCACGCGCTGCATCTCAGGCCCCGACTCCTCCCCGAGCTCGGACCACTCTGCTGCACACTTCCCTTTCCCACGTCGCATGCTCTCCGCAGGAAGATCTGCCAACCAACACCTCCGCAGGGCCGGTCCACAGACACCGCAGAAAGTCCTACCGACGGTTTCTGTTCAGCCCCTCTGTCCCCTCCGTCCGACCCCCTTCCTGACGCTCCAGGACGCTCGTGACGCCATGCATGGCACAGGCCGCTCGGGCGGCTGGTCGTGTAGTCGGCTGCTTGTCCCAGTCGAAGGGCCCGTGTTCGTCCACACGCTCTCATGGCGCTTGCTTCTCCCGAGTTTGGGGCCAGGCCACAGACAGAACTGCATAAATGCTACCCAAACAGGGATTCCTGGGGGAGCTCCTGCTCATCTTTTGAAGGTATAAAAGGTATAATATAATATCATTTCCAAGTAGCTTCTGTAGAGAGTAAAGCAGATTTGTTCTAAAGCTTAGAAGTCACCATTTGGAAGTGTCGATGCCGTTGGAACAAGCTACTTGAACTCTTCAAAGCCAAATTTCTGAGTCGTGAACATGATCTACAGGGACTGTGCGGTGGGGAGCTGGCAAGGTGTGGGGGGTGCGTGGTCTTGTCTGTCCTCGGCCTCCCGCACAGGTGTCCAGCCCAGGGCTCTAACCTTGATTCCCCTTCCACAGCAAAGTCTAAAACGAGGCCCCCAGAGACCAGGCGGGCTCCAGTGGGACACGGTTAGGGGGATGCAGGCGAGCCTCTCAGGCTGAGCACACTGCATTTTGATCATCTGTGTGGGGCTGTCCCACGTGCTATAGGACATTTTTAGCTGCACCCCTGCACCTCCATCCCTGGGACTCCAGCCATACTACTCCCCAAACTGCGCTCATCAGACATGGCCCGACATCCATGGGGCCTGAGAGCCCTGCTGGGAATGCCCCGTGTGAGTCAGGGGTGGTACTCCCCGGCCTCCACAGCCCCGGTCCCCAACGCACGCAGGATTCGGTGTCATCCAGGGACACGCTAGGCCACCCGCTCAGCTGGGCGAGTTTCCCCATCCACTAACTGTGGCCACTAACTCTGTTCTCCCCTCGCTGAACAGCATGATGACCCACGTCAGCAGGCGAGCAGAGGAGGAGATCCACAGTATCTGGCCGTTGAAATGCATTCGTCAAGCACCTGCTAGTCATTTTCAGACACACCTGTATCAGGGTCCATGCTCCCGTGTCTCATCACATAAACAACAACGAGTGGGCACCTCCATAGTGATCAGACAGGAACAGTCTACTCGGTGGGGAACCGCAGGCTTTTTGGTAGGTCCTCCTGGCCGGGGCAGAAATTCCTCGAAAGGTTCTCATCTTGCTTACACCTCCACGTTCTTCCCCCGCTTGAGGAAAACTGACAAACGCTCACCTTTCATTTTTGCTCAAGGCTGCTTGGGAGGCCGCACAGAAGGTAACTTCACTCACGTTTTAATTTTTCACGGAAACACCTTTACACAAAATTTCAATTCCCGTAAAGAAATGTGGGCAGACCGCATCGGGCTCCCTGCTCAGAGGGAAGCCTGCTTCTCTTTCCCTCTCCCACTCCCTCTGCTTGTGTTCCCTCTCTAGCTGTCTATCAAATGAATAAATAAAATCTTAAAAAAACAAAAAGAAATGTGGGAAGAGTGCTGGGAGCTTTAAAAGGTGCAACACGGTGCCCAGTTAAAATAGTGATGGAAAGAACCACAGGCTTCTGGCCAGACCGTTACAGAAGCAACTCCGGTCACCCCTGCGCACTCTGCAACAGTCTTTGCTTACGTCAAAGTGCAAAATGGACAGCCCCACTGGGAACCAAACAGGCGGAGAGAGGTCGCGGTTCAAGCCAACTGGTGCAGCTCTCCTGCTTGATCCCCCAGCAATAGCGCTTCCAGCGGGCAGACACTACGTTCCTTCCCTCGCTAGACAGCCCCGCACGCTGGGCAACCAGGAAACAAACCCACAAGCGCACCGTACCTGTCATGTCTCAGAGCTCGCATATCAACATAGACGGTGGTTGGGTCAGGTCCCGAGGTCCCCTGCAAGCAAGGACACAGCGCGGTTAACTCAAGTTTGTGTGGGAGGCATCTGGGTCTGCACTTCCTACCAGTTAGTGAGAACTTCTGTGGTAAAATCTCAAACTGAACAAAAATAAAAAGCACTAAACCCACACCTCTCTCCAAGATACCTGTTAGTTTCTAGTTTGATAACCTCAGTTCTGAAAGGAGCATCTTAGTAGGATTATGCCGGATTCTCACATGGCTTGACTGTCAATCATATTTACAAAAATAAGAAAGAAAAGAGGCATGCCACACGTCTTGCCAAATAAACAAAGGCTGAAACTGTGAAGATGTCTGGCTAGCAGGTTGTCAAGGATACGAGGCATCATTTGCTGAGAAGTCCCTGCTACACGCATTCCAAAAGGCGTGTTTTTAGAGGTCAAGATACTGAAGCAGAACACGGGACTCGACTGACAGCTCGAAAAGGAAGAGATGAGATAATTATCTCGTTCCTTTTAGCTCTGCCTCTGTCTTTGCTTCCCTCCAGCCGAGGGAGGTTATTTTTGTCTGTGACACAGGTCAGGGAGGTGGTATGTTTGTCAAGAGTGCAGTCAGCCCGGGAGCACCCCGTGACCCAGCTACCGAACACAGGGGGTGCAGAGACCTGGTCTTGGCACCACAAATCCCTTCAAAATGTGCTGGGTTGACTTCTGACCAATGATTTCCCTCCACGTAAGAGCAATGCAATTAAACCTACGTTATAAGCCAAAAATTCTAGCTCTATTTCTTGGGAAGGCCATGTGATACCTTGGGTAGAAAAAGATGGAGCCCAAACAAATTTCCAAAAATGGAGAGAGCCCCTCACAATTTATTTAAGAACTATGCTAAAATTCTTCAGGAGAGAATCTTAACCTTGTATCATAAAAGAATAAGATAAAGACACCTTCCTTAAATCAGGCTGCACTACTCAACACTCCTGGTCACTGGTCTCTTACCATGAGGACAGAGGACAGCACGTGCCGTCAGCCTCTGTGTGGAAGCTTACACCCCACCCCGTATTAACGCAAAGAACATTCTCTCCAACCTGTGGATACTCAAGGAGCCATGTTATAGACTAGTGCTGAGTAGAGAACTGGTATGATGTTCTGAGTAATGCAAAACACATAACCACAGCAGGCCAGTTAAAAAGTAAACAAATCAGAAAACAGGTCACCAAATGTGGGAAGTGAAGTCAAACGGACAGGACCCCAAACTAGCAGAGAAACCACTGACTGTGCATAATGGAAGTGTTTGTCGCGAGCGTGTGACGTTCGAAGACGTCTGAGAGAGCACGTTGTGCTGGGCGCCAGTCCTCCGACCGTGGCCCACACCCCCAGCCAGGCTCCGCACTCAACTTCTAGTGTGGCCCAGTGCTGGAAGCTGACGAGACGGTGGTGAGTGGGGGGCACTGGTGTGGATGAAGAGGAAGATCCCCTACCTGCTCAGCGAGCTTCCACAGCCTGTGGGGCTACAGCAGCAGGGGCGGGGCAAGAAGAAAGGAGAGAACACCAGACCAACAGAACCACAAATAAGCGACACACAGACACGCAAACAAAACAACCCAACAATTAAAATGGGATGAGGAAGAGGGAGGGTAGGGAGGAGAATGCAAAAAGCAGGGAACAAAGTAAAAAGAAGATCAAAAACAATGTCAAATATGGAAATTGTTAAAATCAATCACTGTACCATTAAAGACTAAAAACAAAAAACAAAAAATCCTAGATGTCAACAAACCCACAGAGCAATGGAAGAGAGCAACAGATGACCACCTTGGACACACAGACCGGAGTCACCTCCTTAATACACAAGGTTGATGGTATCACCCGGCAGTTTAAGTGTATGATGCTTGCAGCTTCTTTTCTTTTCTGAGGGAAGTAGGGAGTATGAATTTTATGGCCAAACTGTTGAACGTTCCCCCATTGAAATTCAATTGCTCCTTCAGTGGCATGACTTTAAACCAGGCGGGTCCACTTATATGCGGACTGTTTCTGAGAAACCAGGGCTGTAATGTAAATAGATTTTCTCTTCCCTTTGATTTTCTTAATGACGTTTTTGTTTGTCTAGCTCACGTTACTGCAAGAATGCAGTATATAATACATAAACACACAAAATAGGTGTGAAGTCATCACTAAGGCACCTGGTCAACAGTGGACTATTAGTAAAGTTTCCGGGGAGTCAGAAATTCTTTCTACGTGGATTTTCCACTGGGCGGGGGTTGGCACCCCTAAGCCCCGCATTGCTCAAGGTCAACTGTAGTTCCAAGGCTCCGATGACAATCATGAAGGAGAGCCTGGATGCATTCATATCTAAAATCAGGATGTCTAGCCCTGCTCCTCCACAAAAGAACGTACAAGAGAAGATGCCCAAGTACATATGAAGCATGAAGGAACCGAGCCCCGGGCTTGCACTCAGTCCAGGTCAGCTGTGTGAGCAGGGACCTGCCCCTCCTGAGCATGCACCCTGCCCCTCTGTCAGCCCCGCACGTGAACAGAGAGATCCCCGTCTGGAGCACACACCCCTGTCAGCCCCGCACACCAGCAGGGTCCTGCCCCTCACGAGCTCGAGCCTCATGGCAGTCTCACAAAGACACTTCCCCCTGGTTTGTTCTCACCTTCCGTGGTTTTGGGGTCCACGGCCACCCCTCTTTAAATTACCGATGTCGGCGCAGCAGAAACACTCCAGAAAGCACCTGGAGTCAGGTCCCTGGAGCACGTGGCGAAGAGCAAGGGACGGATTCGAATCCTCCCAGAAGCGCTCTCCGGGGCCCTGGATGAGGGACAGTCACGGTCCAGCGAGGACCACCGCAATATAAAGTCGTCAGCTGGGTTTCCAGGTGGTGACACCCAATGCCAGAGGGAGACGCTAGCACCGCTCAACGGGGAATGGAGCCTTTAATAACAGCAATGCTCCAGATCTAGAATGAGGCTTCCATCCCCCTGTTGCTACCTTCACAGTGGCAACAAGGCAGTGGTTTTCTTGGCGCGGAGCTGCAGCAGGACAAGAAGGAACAGGCTTGGGAAAGGCGTCTGCACTTGAAGGTACACGGGACTTTTACTAGACCTATTCAAGCTGAATGCAAGGTTTTCAATAATTCCCTTCATGATTCCTTGAATCCCAAACATTCCAAATATTAATGGAGCAAAATAAGCCCATGTTTTCTGTAAATTAATTCAGATTTTGCTGTGATGGCTCAAGGCATTATGTCAGAGAAAAATACGTATGACCAGGAATAAATTTCCCAACTTGTAGGATCAGGGAAGGGACAACTCAGCATCTGGAGCAAAATCTGTCTGTGCATTCATTAATAAGGGATACACGAAGGAGGAGGTAAAGAGTTAATATATAGTTGTTTCCAAACTTTAAAAATCTTAAGGTACAAAAAAATTGAGATTTCAAGATACATATGAGGGACTGTGTATTTAACAAAATTTCCTCACTTGAACAAAATTTACTTTGACAAAGAATGTAAGCTGGAGTTTCTTTAAATAGGAGATCCCTAATGCATAAAAGTGCCCCCGAGTATTTAAAGATCATCAAATATTTGCAAAAGGGACCAGCAGGAAAGAAAATTCACTCATTCCAACTGGAGCTTATTCAGAAATGAAAGAGCATGTTTGAAATTTTGGGTTATATTAATAAAAAAAAAGGATTCACTCTAAAGTTCAGCTGTGCAATAAATATGTTGCATATGGACATATTCATACTAAAAATCATTTTTTCTTTGGTATAAAAGTACTGTCAGTTAGGCATTGAACACTTCTTGAACACATAAGCTATATTCAAATCTCAGCTGAAAATATACAGACTCACATCCTAAACACAGCACAGAAAATCCAGCACCTCAGCACACAGCATCGTAAGCTTACGTAACAAATTCCCGAGTAGAAATGTGTGCAATAAAGCCACAATGCCAAAGTACTGATGTTGGGCATATCTACTGTGCTGGGTGTTGGAGGAGTTGAGGGAATTATCCATAAACGGGGGTCAGGGGAGGCAGCGTCCCCCGGGGCAGATTATGGGGAGCACGAAGCCGACTCTGGGCGCAGCACAGGCTCATCACTGGCCACGCTGGCAGTTGAACGCGGAGCATTGGTCCTGCCTGCAGGACTCAAGCCAGGTTCTTTGGTGCTCCTAGCAGATCTGTGTATCAACCATGATCTTTTCACCATTTTAACTGAGGTATAATTTACAGACAACAAAATGCACAGATTTTCACATTTGGTTACATGAATTTGGACAATCATATACATACCACCCCAAATAGCATATAAAAACTCCTTCACCTCCGACCCCAAAAGGCTACCACTTTGTGATTTCTAACACCACAGATTAACCTATTATCAGACTTCATATAAAATAACACAGCATGCATTCTCCTGTGTTGGCTTTCACTGAACACGATGATTCTGGAATCCACGCATGATGTTTGCGGCAGCAGCTCGCCGCTCTATGTTCCGGGAAGTGTTCTGCTGTGTGAACACGTCACCATGTACACTCTTCCATCCTCCTGCTGTGGGACATCCGGGTTATCTCCAGTTTGGGGCTACCATGACAAAGCTTGTACAAAGAAGTTTGTAGGCAGGTTTTCTTTCAGGTACATACTCTGACATGCTGGCTCACAGGGCTGACATGCATTGAACTTTATAGGAAACTGTTAAATCTGTCCCCAAACTCGCAGTGATTAAGGGTTCTAGCTGCTCCACATCTTCATCACCATTTAGTACTGTCAGCCTTGTTGATCTTAATTATTCTAGGAGGTGAGACATGCAAGCACTGTATTTTTTTTTTTTTGAAGTGAAAATCACGGTTTCAATGGAGTACCACATGTTGTGCTTTGACTCATTTTTGGGGAGCTAATCAGCAAAGGGAGGAAGCACCTTCAGGAACTGCACAGAACATGGAATGCTTCCCAAATCTGCAGGTCACCCTGCCGGAGCTGTGCTTACCTGTTCTATATTGCCCTCACTGTGGGCTATGTGCTGCCTATGCAAGTATGCCAT